CTAAATTTATGACCTCGAGAACCTTTTTTTTTTTTATAGCACGTTTTATTTACAAGCCAAATTTCGCATTTACCAGGAAATAGTGCAAACCGATGATTGGAAGAATGCTATATTGCACAGATGTGATTCATGCGACATCAGGTGGCAAAGTCCGAAAATAATGAGTAGGGATAATATGGCAAAGCTGGTCGTGGCTATTCAGGTATTTTTTTTTTTCCGAGAATTATTAATAACACACAGATTGTATTAGAGAAGATCAGATGAGTATAAATGGTGGGAATATTTTATTATTCTTTGCTTGATTTGTATTTAGGCCAGTTCAAGTACATTTGCGGCTGAAATACAACAAAATCAGGAGAATCGATTGCATTCCGTGTGGAACACGATAATTCAGTCGTATAACCATGAAGATCGGAAGAAGATGAGAGGTCGCTCGATAGAATTTGATGAATTCTGGAAGTTCGTTGTAGACGGTACGGTTTTCTCGCCCTAGCTATTATGACGTTTGGGTGATCACACATCTTAATTTTTCTCATTTCAACACCTAGACCACCTTTTCGACGTCGGGAGAACTCGCCAGAGAGTTTTCTGGGGGTTTCAATTATTTGAAAAAGTGCTAACCTCTTTTCCGGCAGAAAAAATATCCGCCATATTCACAAAAAATTTAATGCATACTCTAATAAGCAATTTACACCACGAAAATCGTCATTTGCATCGAGCCTCGATCTAGGTGGTAATTATTATTTGTAATTTAATGTGACATGCTTCTCTTGTGTATTCTTATACGTTCTACTTTGTGATGTGTAGTTGAACGTGATTATTCAAGTATCTAAGATAGTTAAAAGTAAGGCAATGGTAGTGATCAAGACTTTATTGGGTCCAAATTGATCAGGATTTTGATGCAATCAGCAACACAAAAACCATCAAGAAATTTTTCGAAACATGGATTTTGATGAATTGAAAAACTGTCTGTCATATCTCAAAAAAAATTTCTTGGAACCGAATCAAAGGTTTTAATTTACAGTATATTCATATTCATATTGGAATCTAGATGATGATATGATCTTAATCGAGATTGTAAATTATGGTGATGCCGATACAATGGAGGATCGTCGACAGTGGATAATAAATTTCATGTACTCGATATTAAAAGACACACAGATGGAACGCAATGAAAGTTGGATGAAATTTATTCTTGATATATTTCTTTTGTATGGGTTTTTCACTCCGAAAAAGTCCGCAGATGTAAAAAAGAAGAATGCAAAGGTAGAGTATATATATATATACTGTATATAGTTACACAAATTTCGGCTTATTATTAAAAAACATTATATATAAACTTTATTAATGATAAAATGTAAGAATACTCGTTTGCTGTAACATATTTTGTTGTTTAGTCTCAATCGAAATAATTACATCATTCATAATAAATTTCTTTATTGTTTTACAAGGCATACTTTCAATGATACGCACGCCATTACACTTACATTACAAGATCGAAGTAGAAAAAGAAGAAAAAAAATTACACATTTTATATGCAACCAACCACCAACCGTCATGGATGCTCTCGCAACACTCTAAAATTCATGGTTCCATGGCGAGACGTGTACAAACCATCCATTCCGGGTGAGGTTTAAAGGCAGGTGTTTGACCAACCCAGAGTCGGGTATTCATTTATTTGTAGTTTGCGTCCAGTGTAATTCGAGAATGCCCCAGACTTTGTGATTGAGAAAATTCTTGAGATTGTGCAGCTACCAGACCATGGTGGGTGGTTGCATTTTCCTTGTAGGGAAATAAACGACTCTCCTGCCAAGAAGAATAAAAATAAGTGAATAGCTACAGTGTCTTCTCCCTAACACATTAACATTCAAAAAATGCAGCAAATATATATATATACGTATACATATTTATTTATTTATTTTGTCATTGTCTGTAATCCGTCCATTATCTCTATGAAGAATTTTTACACTTGATTTCGCCTGTTTCCCAACTTCAAGCAAATCGTATTTGTTGTCAAATTAGAACAATGTTTTGTTTTGTTTTGTTTTGTTTTAAGGAGTAATTCTCGTAAAAACTTTATCTAATAACGCTAACGGTCCTGGGGAAAGGGCATCTCTGGTGGAACAACATAAATCCTGGCGTGATAGATCTAACTACAAATGATATGCAATGGATCCGAATGAAAGAGTTAATTGAACTTTTCCCAGAACAATGTTTATAGTATGGTTGATTTTCGATCATGGGATTTAAGAATGAACCAATCAAATGAAATTCATGTGATTACTTCGGTATATCGAGATCAAATTATTATAGTAGATTAGTCAAAAATCTTCGGCTTATCGTTTAACACGAATTTACTAATTAACTTCGGCTTAAGCTATAATAAAATTTTGGGAAATCAAAAAAACTTCGGCTTAATGCAATTTCGGCTTAGCGTGACTTCGGCTTATCGAGTTTCACTTGTATTAGGATACTGAAATCTCGGTATAAATTACAATGATCATTATATAATCAGGGACTAATTATTACTAAAGACATCTTCTCCACCACCTCCTGACCCACTCGCGTAAATTAAAGAAAGGCGAGTATCTTTCCTTGCACGAGAAAATCATCAAACATGAATAGATGACTATTGATCCTTTCCCTTTCATCAAAAATAAAACGCGATCGGGTCAATTGTTTGCGTTTTTTTTTTGAAAAAAAAAAAAACATTGAAATTTTGTTTGAAAATGAAAAATGAAAGAATATACAATAAAATGCAAGTGCTCCTAGTCCAACAAATGCTTGTGAAATTGATGAATGATGATTAAACAAGTTTTCTTGATTTTTTTCTGTGTTCCGTAACCGGAAAAGAAAAAAATCAGAAAACAAAAGTTGTGAATGCTAAACAAAAAAAAAAAACAATGATGCAAAGTTACATGCAAGGATTTTAATTTTCTTCCCCCGCTTAGAGAAAATAAAATTCATTATTAAAGATTAATGGTCACAACGACGAAAAGAACTTATTAAAATAAATGAAATAAAAAATAATTATTAAAGAGGGAAAAACTAATATTAAAAGAATGGAGCTGCACAACTCAAAAAAAACACAGCGAATTCACTACTTCTTCTTCGCACAACATCCTGAAAACACGCGGAACGCGGACTCGCAATTCGGTAAGTCGGGAAAGAACCCGTCACATGCAATGGAAATTTGATAGAGAGGATCGGTCGCATCACTTCCAAGAACATGACCACATAGATTGGCTGATAGGTTGATGATCTGTGATAGGCATTGGAAAAAAGAAAAAAAAATTACACCATTAAAATACTTGAAAAATTTTTATTACAGATTCTCATATTATAGAGAAAGAGAAATGGCGAGAAAACTCGGCCATTAATAAATAATAAATAAATAAAATAAATAAATAAATAAATAAAGATAACTACTAACCAAAACAAAGGTTCTAATGTAGAACCGATGAGAAAAATTTCTTTTGATAGTCGTAGAGAAAAAAAAAATGAAATAGAAACGGAAATGTGCGTGCGGAATTAGTCGGCGGTAAGATGATTGCGAGGTGTCCACGTGCAGGACCGAAATTCGACAGAAAGGAGAACCGAAGTCGGTATAAAGAAAAGGTGACTGCGGTCGCTCCTCGCTTGTCGTTTGTGTGAAGATCGACCAGTGGGTTTTGCGTGTGTAATTGGTGTTTGTGCTTGTGTTTGTGCTAAGGCGGAATGATGCGTCGTGTGTGAAGGCTTGTGTAAAGTTTCAGATTAATAAAAAAGATAAAAGGGCTTCGACAAATGAAATAAACCATACATGAGAAGAATAGGTATAAAACATATTTTCAATCTTAATTCATTTCCTGCTTATAATAAACTTATAAAAAATGCTATATGTAATAAATGGTAAAAGAGAAAAAATTTTTTTTCTGTAAGTAATCGAAGTAATGTTTGCTTATTGTGCATATATTGTGCATATACGTAAAAATAAATAGAGGGAAGAAAATTGTCGGGGTAATTAACTTAGGCAATATAAAAAAACGTATCATCAACATATATATATATTTTTTCTTTGGAAAAAAAAAAAAAAATACATTGTTGATGGCTTAAATAAATAATTGCTCAATGTCAAAAAAAAAGACCAGATTATGGAGGTGCTAGCTCCTTTGACATTGATGAAAATAAATTTGATGGAATTTGGAGTGATCCTTTTTGATAATGACACGATTGTGCGTGTGATGATGAATGGTACGCAGTAGGTGTGTGAAGAATCACCCCGTTGAAGGTAGATTGAGGGAAATGATAAAGGGAGTATTTTCTTAAATAATAAAAGGAAAAAAAACCGATATTTTACCAAAGAAGGGGTTCCATTACAGGTCAGTTCGGGTTTGCCAGTAGAGACAGCCAGTCAGAAGTGAGAATTGAATGGTTGGGTTATAAATCAGTGAGCCGTTCATCGAAATAATTCGTCAAATAAAAATAATCGAAATTTTTTTGTTGTTGTGATTTGCCTATTTTTTTGCCAATTTTTTTTTTTTTTTTTTTAATATAAGTATTTGGTAATGAATTTGTGCTGTAAAAGAAAGAAAAAAGAAAAGATGGTCAGTAAATCGAACCAAACCTTGGCTACAAGGAATTCTTGGTAAAACAAACAAACAATCAATCATTCATACCTCCAACAGTTTCTCTGCGGACCATCTGGCGTCTGCAGAACTGGCGAAACACTTTTGCAAGAAATCTTTGACTTCCCATCCGATCTCAGTCTTGTCAGTCAAACGTTGGAATCCGGAGGGCATCTCACCTCTACGCAATTTATCCATTATTTCATCATCCCTGACACGGCCCCAGGCCGCTTTGCCGCTCAAAAGTTCCAAGATGCAGACACCTAGAGACCAGATGTCAACTTTCGTGTCGTAAGGTCGATCCGGTGAGACGAGAACAACATCAGGAGCCATGTACGGGATCGTTCCAACCATAGCGGTGGTAGAGATGGGTTCCAGTGAAGAGATTCCAAAATCAGCTGTAACAAAAAGAAAGAAGAAAACATTGTGATTATTCGCAATCGGTTAGCACGCGTGTGTGGTGTCGTCCACAAACCAAACAATTCCTGCTCTTGATAAACATACCAAGTTTAATTTGATTATTGACGTCGGCCAAAATGTTTGAAAGCTTGAGGTCTCGGTGAATGACGCCGTTAGAATGCAAGTGCTTTAGTGCTTGTAAGAGCTAAACATTGGTCGGAAAAAGAATGAATGATCGCATCAGTTCTCGCGACATTCACATGGTCTCACGATTCGTGATTGATTTCGTCGCAACTTACCTCTCGAGCAATGCGCGAAACTTCACGTTCGCTGATTTTGCCAGCACGGCTGGTCACATCTCCAAGGGCGCATTTTTCCATGGCAATCCAAACTTCTCGATTTTTCCCGTCCCACCTCAAGTAACTCTCTTTGAAATCGACGATATTTTCGTGCTTAAAGTTCTTCAACACGTATAATTCGTTAAAGATGAATTCCAAGCTGTAGGTCAGTGGGACAATCTTGACGGCAAGTTCTTCTTTACGATTAGCCACGGGACGAGCGGTGTAGACTTTTGCGGAGGAACCTTCATCGATGACTTTTTTCATGTCGAAAATCTCTTGAGGATTATTTTTACCTGGAACGCATTCATGAGAGATCAAGCGGAGGTAGTGCTGCAAAGTGGCGACTGGATCTTTTGTGTTTGGTGGCGGTGGGGGTGGTTGAACGAAATTTCTGTTGGAGGAGGATTCAGCATCGTCATAGTTTGAGGATTCGTGGATACGTGTACGGCGGGATTGACCAGAGGTGAAACGGTTAGATTCAGAAGCAGGTGTTGATGATCGAGATGATGAGGCAGGGGATCGTGCGCGGGTGGTCGGACCATTGATACTGGGAGTTGATGATCGAGTTGAAGATGCAGGTGACAGTGGACGGACATTGGAGTTTACCATATGAGAAGATAAGGCTGATGATGGAAGATGCTTGGCGGGGGCAGATTCAGAATTGTTTTGATGACCAGAAGAGGAGTCGTGATGTTGATGAGAGAATGAGTTGTTTTGATCATGTCGAATGGAATCGGAAACATGGGAAAAGATCAATGGTTCATTGTTGATATGACCGGAATCCGTTTGAGTACTCGACGGGGATGTGGCTGATGAGGGATACGAACCATTTCGGGAGAAAGTCGTGGATTCGGAAGAATTAGATGAGATTGAATCGCGATGAAGGTGATCTTTGGTTGGAACCGATAGGTGAAGTTGGGATTGTTGATCGCCGTTAACCATATGTGAATATGATGAACCGTTTTGTTCGAGTGAAATGGAATCCGAGACAGAATTTGAGTTTGTGGTAGATTGTTGTTCTTTACGGGAACCGGAATTGTTGCGTCGGAGACGACGTCGGAAACTATTTTTGGGGCTATCGTGATCGGTGGTCAAAGGGGTGTCATTTCTGAAAGATGCATGTGCAACCGAGTTAAAAGAGGCCCAAGACTTCTTCTGACGTAATTGATTTTGCATTTCTTGGTCCAACTCGAATTCATCGTCATCATCGTCACAATCTTCATCGATCGCAATCAATTCATGTTTCAAGAAATTACCAGCGTCGTCATCTTCTTCTCGATTGTCAACCGATCGGCCGTGAACCGGCGCGAAACTGTTATCATCGAGGTTTAAAGTGTCTTTCGGAATCCGGGGTTGACAATGTTCGACCATCTCCTCGTCCTCGTCATCATCCTCATCATCATCGTCATCATCCTCATCATCTTCATCATCTTCTCCATCGTCGGTGGAAGCCAATTCGGAATCATCTTCGGTAGTTTCATCTTCTGTAGTATTATCGGAAGAATCATCATCCGTGTCATTTTCGGAGGTAAATTCGTCAGCGTCGCTTCCGTCAGACTCCATATCAACATTCAGATCGGTAGCAGTCTTTTTCGCGTAAACCATATTTCCTTTCACGTGTTGACCCGATGACCCCACAGGTTTGCTAAGAGGGAGTGGGGTAGGACGCACCATTCTCTTTGGAGTTTGTGCAACTGACTTGGGGGGTGCAGATGACGCATGAGGTTTTACGGAGGATGTCACAGGTGCAACGCTCTTAACATTATTGGCCTTGTTGGGTAGCCTGTCTTTTTTTGTCGTGGAGGTGATGTTCGCAGGAGTTTGAGTTTTTTGCAATGGGGCGTGAGAAGAGGAATTGGTTCCGACCAACGAAGACAAACTGGGGAGAGGAGCGGGAGACGATGTTGCATCCGAATGAGTGTTGATTATTCGCTGGCGATCGCTCATTATGGCCGAAAGAATTCCGAGGGGTGAATTGTCAGAAGCTTGCTTCTTGGTTTCCTCGGACTGAATG